TTTCCCATGAAAAACAGTGTCAAAAACTCTCAAACAGCTCTAATTCTAACCAGATTAACTCAGGGATGAATGCCAGCAGGAAGTTCTTGCTAAATACCAGTTGTTTGACAAAGGAAAACTATTTCTTCTCAAGAAGATCTTCCCAGAGGTGAAAAGGCTTTAAAACCCATATAAAAAAAAAGGACAGGTAGTTCCAGCTGTTACAACTACARTGGCATCCACAGCAAGAGAAAGAGCAAGGAAATGGCACATTAAAAAATATGCACAAAYGTTGATAAATCAGCAACTAGTATTTCCCCTGACACTGCTAATGTTATTGTTTCTTAAAATCTAGAACAGTTGCTAAAACTTTGCAGCAATGCAAACAAATGGACATTATTCYATATGAACTGGTGGGCAAAGCCCTTAATACCAGCTTCAATTTAAACTCTGCTTAAATCCCTAAAAGTGAATGAACACATACAAATGATGAGCATGCTGTCACCAGGAAAAACAGAATTAAGCGATTCCTGGTGAGATTTGTTAGATTTAACTACTCCTCTGGATGAGATTCCACCAGTGGATGGCGTTTGAAACAATTCGCTCTCTTTACATATCTTACCCCAAAGATCTGTACACAACTAAAACCGAGTTCTTTCAGGTAGTAGGGTGTAAAAGATTGTATTCAACAAATGCCAGTGCTGCTGCTCTGTTGTTATGCCAGAGTGCAGACATAATATGAAAAAAACTTCTAAAGATTTAGCTGGGTCACTGAGAACCAAATTCTGCAAATGTTTAGTATCAAATCATTGCTTACAGTGGCATTTGCCCCATCCCAGTGCRTACATCACTCCTTGCTGTAAAAGCAATCTATCCCCTGCAGTAAGAARTTTCTCCACTGTTTCTTAATACAGTACCTGCCAGTGAAGTAAAACTTCAAAATTACTTTGTCTGTCAAACCCAAGACGTATTCTTTCTGATTTATTTTAGTCACTTTTAATCTTCCAAAATAAGAGTTCACAGAAAAGCACTAGTATTTTTTCATCACCTTTTATTTTATTCCTAAAACCATTTTATAAACGTTTAAAATATAGTTCCCATTATGTTCTAGGAAAAAGAAAAAAAAAAAAAAAGAAGGAAACAAAACCCCTTTAACTCCAACAAAATGTAAGGCTAAAGACCTATTAAAGATCTCAGCACTAACTCTCTTAGAGTAGGACTCAGCCAAATTTCTTTTTCATATCAGGACTGGCTCTCCACTCATTCATGCTCGAAATCCCTTGTACTCTCCACAGTGTCCCCAGCCTGGTTCATATCATAGTCATTTTCACTGAGTGTACCATGCATTGGCAATACAAACTATCTAACATCCCTGGGATGTGCCTACCTGGGTGTTTCCTCTGAGTCAAAAGGCTCCTACATGACTAAAGAGACGATGCTGTGCTCTCCCACCTCTCCAGGACATCCTTTCATTCCTCTGCTCATCAGGTGCCAGAAGGGCTGTGGGAACCATGGACAAACAGGACTGGAGCTGCCCACCTGCCTCCTGCTGATCCTGGGACCACAGAGGTGGCTGGAAGCCCTGCCTTTCACAGTGCCACCAGCACTTGGGAGATGGATCAGTACACTTTCTGATCAGGCTCTGCTGCTGCATTAGGGGAAACATTTCATAACTAGCGGATATAAATGCACCCTACTATGCAAGATTGGGCCCARCCAGTTGGTTTTGTTCATTTTGGCAATATTGAAAGTAAGACACAGCTCTTCTGAGATCAGAGAAGTGTCAGCGAATACTAGCACAGTGCATACAGAACATCCATACATTATTGAGAAAAAAGTTTCTATGCCAAAAATGCAAAAAATATCAAAATATCCATTAAAAATACCTTGCAGGGGTAATATAGGCATCAGAAACTCCAGCAACTGGTGCTACAGTGATACTGTGCTTTTTTTTCCCCTCCTCTCCCCTCAAAAGAGCAACTGCTTTCTAAAAGCCTTTGAAAAAAACAAGCCCACAAAAAACCCCTACAAATCAAACCATGGGAAATTTTCATTCTGGTAAAAGCCTGACACCGTATTTCCTCCTATGTTTGGAGTTAACCTTCTCCCAGTGGCAACTTTTATCAGACATGATTATAGGATGCTGCACCCTTTGAACTGTAGCAATTAATCCCAGAAAGGAATATTTCATTTTCAAGCAATGTTGTTTGAATCTCTGATATAGCCCTACTTCCCTCCTGAAATACCTGGAAAATTGCCAGTTTTAATGGGAAGCAGGATTGTATTTTAGACACAATCATGTTACAAACATGTTCCATCAYGTTGCAAGATGTTTGTTCTCCTAATCCCCTTTTGCAAATATTTGAAGTTCTAAATTTGATTTTCATACTGTAAAATGAACTATGATGTGGCTTTTTAAAGAAATAGACAATAATGTAAGTAGAGTTTGGCTGAATGGAGAAATTAAGTTTCTGATGTTCATTTGAGATGAACAATTATTACATGGATGATTCCAAGGAACAAATTTCTGGTTATGATAACCCAAAGATAAATTACAAATTCATGTTCACTTGGACATACTAGCATCAATTTCTTTTGTGGGAGAATGCTGGTTTGGATTGACATCGATTAAATGCTTAATGAATCATTAACAATCATTCAAAAAATCACATCTTGACCCTTTATGGAAAAAAAAAAAACTTCAATTACTTGTGTGTAGTAGGACATTAGGGCATCTTTTCCAAAGGAGATTATTCCTATTGAATCTGTTCATGAGTTTGTGGGTTTGTCCAAAATCTTTACAGGAATGTGTCATCCTTGTCTAATATTTTGCTGTGAAAATTGTTAAAATGAAATTTTAGCTCGTACTTTGTTAACCAGCCAGCTGGTCTGTTAGTAGGCATACCTGGGAACTGACCTCTTCTGAGACTGATCAGAGACTGGAGAGACTCCTTTCTCCAAGAGACTGACACCTCTCCTTTTTCCAACCTCGCTATACTGCAGTTATTGCAAAAAAAGTAGCTCTTTAATATCTTTTCTTGTTTTGTTTCCCCCCAAGCATTAGGCAGCTCCAGTTTTCAYTCTGATGCCAAATAACTACCAACATCCAAACCTCACACTTTCTGCTCCACGGAATTGTTGCTTTCTGATCATCTCTTCCTGTCACAATAGAATCCTATAGCAGAATAAAATCCTATGGTGATTATCAAAACAACATTTGGAGCTGTGGGATAGATAACAGGTCTACTCAGTTTTGGTTATTGCAGGCTGTAGATGAAGATGAKTATGAAAAATGCTGAGTTGTAACCAGTTTATGTTTTTTTTCCTYACTGGACCTATGGCCAGAAGGAAGAAACTCTTGAGCTATGCCTGCTTTTAAAAATCCACCTGTAGTTTGATACTGTCTATAACTGATTGAGTGGAAAATTAAAAGTATAATAATAAATAACTCAAGATAACAAAAGTGGAGCTTGTCCACTTAAAGTTTTTTGTGATGGGAATCTGCAAAAATTTGGGGCGGGGTCAAAATAAAAGCCATCACTAGTCGAGTATGATTTGTATTAATGAACAATTATTAAATATATATATATAAATTAACAAGAAGCGACATACCTCAGATTTAAAACAATATAATTTTGAGCTGAGGGACAGCATAATGTCTTATTCTTACACTGTTTTTTTCTTCTGCCCTAAGCTTTCATGAGTAACTTCACAGGTATGTGAAACCTGTTGMCTTTGACAGGACATTAATAAAGCACAAAGTTATTCATAACTACACATARCTAATGGCAGTAGCCATTCAAGGGTTATCTACTTTATCTGATTATGTTTCAGCCAAAATTTGGGATCACTACTGACCATGAATAGACCAGCTGGGAGAATCAGTGGGCCCAGRGCAAAGTTTGTACAAGTCCAGGTATCTGTACACCTTACCTGGAGACTCAAACTAGATATCCTATCACAAGAAAACTTAATTCCTCACACGTGTTTCAGATGCAGTTGCTGCAATCTGTTGTTCTCTATTTAGGTTCACCACTTGCGCTGCAACATGATTTAGGGCCTAACCTTGATATTACAGATGTTGATTCACAGATGTAACTACTGGTAGGACAGAGATGAAAAGATCCTCAGGGCAGGAACTTTGTTTTGCAGAAGAAGTTTAAGCTCATAGTACATTATAAATTATGACATGAAGAATACTGCAAGCCACAGCCCCCAAACACCTATCTAAGGACGTCTTGATAAAAGCAGCGGAAGGATTACAAAGTGTCATTAGAAGTGAGTCAAACAACATGCACAGTCAGTGCTAGAGGAATGACTGCTCTTCAGTCCAGCTGCTCACAGTCACGGCTAAACTCTGCTCCCGGCAGAAGCTCACTSGAAACCCAAGTTTTTGGTAACCAAGCGCAGACCCAGGCAGCAGCGGGCTCTGTGGCCACGCACAGGCCCTCGCTCTGAGAGCCCCCGAGGGCCCTTCCAGCGCTGTCCCCGCGGCCGTGCAGGGACAGTCGGTCCCGGCCGGGGCGCGCTCCGAAGGGGCCGCGGGGTGCCCGGCCCGGCTTGCCCGGCCCGTCCGGTGCCCTGCGCTCGGTGCGGGCCGGCACCATGTGCGGGAGCTGCCGCGGCAGCTGCGGGCAGGGCCGGCAGCCGTTCCCCGGCGACCGCAGGCAGCTCCCCAGATGCCCTCTCTGGGCTCCTCCGGCCCGAGCGGACCCTGCTGATTTCCTGCCAAATCCGCTCCTTTCTCCCCCCTCTTGCCTCCAGGGACGGACCTCAGCTTTGGCCGCGAAACCCCGAGATTTCCAATCCTTTCTTCCCCGCTTACTCTCCCGCAGGGCCATCAACAAACACGCTCACCCCTCCCGAAATGTTTCCAGYCTCAAAACTTTCTTAGCAACCGTGTCCCCCGCCTCCCGCGGCGGACGCCTGTCCCTCGCCGCCTGCCCCCCTCCCGCCCCGCTCCGCCGCTGCCTGCGGCCCCGGCAGCTGTCAAGCGGCAGCGCGGGCCGGCGGGCACTTACCCCGGAGCAGAGCGGGGACCGAGCTGCCCATGAGCACCCAGAGGGAAAGGCGCAGCATGAGCCGCCGCAGGCTCCTCGGCAGCCGGGGAGTCATCGCGGAGCCGGATCGGCGCGGCCGGCGAGCCGCGGGCGGGGCGCGGGG